GTTCGCACAGCAATCAGCAAGATGGCGGTTTCGGTGGCCAGCATCGAAACGTGAATGCGAGGATCGCTCGAAACGGCGCCTTCGCGCGGGCTGCCTTGGGCGACCCACGGGTAGATCAGTTCCATGCGGCGATTGATGATATCGAGCGAATTGCGTCGTGCTTGATCGACGGGATGCTCTCCGTTGAGCGGCGAGTGGCTTTCAAACACAATCCCGCGCACACCATTGGCAACCGACAGGAAAGCGGCTTTCTCTAGCTGGTATCCCTGGAAGCCCATCGGCACGTTCGACTCTTGGGCCAAGTAGGAAACCTGACTCTGCGTGGCTGGGCTGAACTGCGTGGGGATCATGGCCCAACGCGTCACGCTGGGCGAAGCGAACAGCCCCCAAGACTGCGTCCACTGAGCGTAGTCGGAAAGGGACTGCGACGTGCCGAGAGGTGGACGGCGTGTCGCGATGATCTCGCTGTGCTGACTGAAATCATGGACGCGATTCGGTGCGATGGCCAAAACCGGTCGCGGCTTTTCTCCATCGAGCAGTCGCAAGTCAGAGGCGCGGATGGCGAAGTCGGAGAAACCATCTTCTCCTTCAGTGACCGGCAATTCCCACGCCAAGACCGCCGATTGATCGGCCGGACTGCGCGACTGTGGCGGCGAACTGACGCTCCACATGTTGTAACGCAACAGTTCTTGCTGCAGCTGCGGTGAAGGGGCCTGACTGGTGCGAATGGCGGTGAAACCAAGTCCACGCAAAAGGGAAAGAGGTTCGCCGTTGTAATCGATGATACGAGGTACCGCAGGGTGATCGTTTAGTTCAATCACTTGCCCATTGGAGGCGGACTGCGAACGAGGAGGAGCCAATTGCACGTTCGCTCCCGTTGTACCGGAAGTTACCGGAGCACCCCGCATGCCGCGCAGTCTTCCTTGCGTGTTGGCTCCTGGTGTGCTGGCTCGCTGCGTGGTTGTTGGTGCTGCGGAAGCAACATTCAGTAAACCGCTTCCTTCCAAGTCGTCGATCTGCACACGGACGAGCCCTGGCGCGGAGTAGAGGTTCAACATGATCATGTCGACGTACGCTTCGCGCGGGTCGAACTGCGGACCATGCTCGCTACGCAATGCCGAGACTTGCTGCTGGACTTTCTGATCGATCCCACGAATGCCGATTTGTACCCACGTGTCGGGCTGGTCGGATCGGTCGCCGAGCACGCGCGACGTAACCGGTTGCCCGGTGCGAGGATCTCGGCTGCGGGGAAAGACAATCCGCGCCGCGATCTGCAGGCCGGCCATGTTCGACTTCACCCATGCCGAGTACTGCAGGTCTGGAATGACACGGGCCGGGGTGACCGCGTGGCCATAGTAAGCGTAAGAGCCTTGCCCGTAACGAAGGGCGATCAGTTCGCTGCTGGCCCCCAAGTGAGAGTCGCCGGCCAAGCGTTTATGTTCCAGTCGGCTGACAGGTGCGTCGGCATCCATCGGCTGCCAGGTAACGACCGCCGTTTCGAAGTCTTCGATGACCT